TATATACCTGTGTGTGTGTGTGTGGTGTAGGTAAATTTACATATCTAGCACATAATTTTTATGTATTTATATATGTCACACCTAAACTTTCATATTTACATACATAGCACTTTGATGCTTTAAACCTATGCATGAATAGGTATATATCACTTTTAAAAGGTGGTAAATGTGTCATTCTTTATGTGATATTAAATATTTGAGTGTTATGTATGTAAATATTTAAAGACACAACTTTGATGCATGGCAAAATGAGATGATTTAAAATTGGCGAAAAATTAAACAAAACAATAATAAATAAGGACAAGGGTTATCAGACAGCACAAGCACCAAGTTAGCAAAAAAATTTAATTAAAAGACAATATAGTATGTTGTGATTAACCTCATTTCTCATGTTTACATTCCAAGCATGTAAGGTTCCATCTCCAGATCCTGTAAGTTGCAGTTTCAAAAGCAGTCATTAACCCATGAAACAGCCGCAGCAAAAAGAAAATATAGGTGAACAAGACGGAAAGGCAAACACAACTCCATCCAAATTTTTAATGGGGCATGTACATACATACCACTCATTTCTTATGTATTTACATATCAAATATCTAAAAGTTTACTTTTTACATTTACACCACTCAATTATTTCATATCACATCAAACAAACTACTATTTTAACTTTTAAAAAGTAAAATACACCTTTTCATATACAGGTAAGGTGGCGTTTATGTAAAATTTAACTTTAGGAATTAGATATGTAAATACATAAGAATTGAGCAGTATGCATGTAAATCTTTCATTTTTAATTTAACCCTTGAACGATGACGAATATCCATAAATAGACTAGAAACATAAACTTGCTATTTCAAAATCTACATGATAGATTTTAATATTCATATACCAGCACTAATCCACAAAGCAGCTATATAAACGTTCTTCCCCTTACAAGCTTGCAGAAGTGAATATTTTAGATCATTTCTGAAAGGAAAAAAAAATATATGTTTTCCTCTTAACATAAACTATGGAACGCATAAACATAGAGGGAGAAGAAAATAACTACATGAACACGTGATTATGACACTTTAATAGAATCTATTAAAATTCATGTGGAAGATGCAGCCGAAATGGAAATCAAACTAAGAAGGTAATAAAAATACATAAAATTAAATCTCAAGATAACTAGTAAAGAAATCAGGTACATAGCTTATCTGTTCAAGGACCTTGCTTGTGCTATGTCATGATTACTTCTTAAATAACACATCAACGGAAACAGTTATCTGTTTGGCTCAGAATGATAAATCTTAATTTTCCGCATAAAGCAATTTTCAAACTTCACAAGTAAATCACATCGCCTAAAATAATATCTACTTTTGCATAAGCAAGAGAATCTGGAATACACAGCTAAAAGTATAGCATTCGGAAACTGGGAAACAAGAAATGCAAAAGAAAATTTGACTAGAATCTATAGGAATAAAGGAGAATAACGCACAAAAAACAAAAGAGTATAAAAAATAAAAGTAATTCATAAAGTTTGAGAGACAAGAGTTTGCATGTCCACATACATGGTAGAAATGCAAACTGTTCATAAAAATATTTAAGAAGAAAGATATACCTGAAATAACATATTTTCCATCTGGAGTGAAAGAAGATTCAGTTGTTATGTTAGAAGATGGCTCTAAACTGAATCCACACCGCTAAGCATGATGAGAAACAAGATCAGTTTAATAGCCAGAGAATGAGCCAAGATCCTATGGCCTTGTTTGAGATCAAGTTTGTTTTTTATTTTTGTTCTTATTTTTGCTTTTCCTTTTGTTTTAAAAAAAATTTATTAAGTGTGCTTTTACATGTTTTTATTTTTTATTTCTAAAAATAAATAAATGTGATTTCGAAAACACTCAAAATAATTTTTAGTTGTTTTGAGTATTTTTAAAAACAGTCATACTTTAATCAAAAGCAAAACATATTTTATTTCAAATAAAAAAATAAATAAAAAAAATAAAATAATAATAATAATAAATAAAAATGATCCCAAATGGCCCCTAATAGATATTAAAATTGTACCACCAGGAATAATGATTCCAAGCCATTAATATAGAAAAACAAACCTTATCCCCGCAGTAAGCATCCAGAACATAGACATTGTTGCTTGTTGTTGTTAAAAGCATAGACTTCCCATCATTACTAAATTTGATATCACAGACTTCAGCTGTGTCTCCACCCACTAGAAAAGTGTCGAAGGGACCCTGACAGGTAAAATAAGAAATTATTACAAGTAAATGGAAAAACCCTTATGGTTTCATTAACAAAGAGTAAACCTTGTCGTAAGATCGTGAATCAAACAACTTAATAGCGCCGCCTTCCATTGATACGGCAAAAACAAGGCCCTGTTGATCATATGCAACAGTCGGCCTACCACGCAACCGCAATATTCCCTGTAGACAAAAAAAGTACTTGTGAATAAAATCAGCTAAAATAAACGTAGGGCCCATTAGGCATCAATTTATTTCTTGTTTTTGTTTTTTTTTTCTTTTTCTTTTATTTTTTAAAAGATATTTGTCTGGTATAATTTTTATATACACTTATTTTTTGTATTAAAAAACTAATTAACTTTTTAAAAACATTCACAAACACCTAAAAGATGTCTTGGGAGTTTTTAACAACAATTAGCTCGATCAAACAAGTTTTAATTTAAATCAAAACACAAACAAACATTTGGTATCATTTTTTTATTCATCTTTTATTTTTATTTTTATTGTATTTTGTTTATATTTTGATATAGATTAAAACATTTTTAATTGATGAAATTATTTGTAAATGCGTTCAGCATATCTTTTAAGTATTTTGAGTGTTTTTAAAATAAGTTAATTTGTTTTAAAAAATAAAAAATAAAGACATTAAAATTATACCAACCAAACATGTATTTAAAAACAAAAGAAAAATAGAAATAAAAACAGGAAACAAAAGTAATGTCAAATAGGCCATTAATTTCTGTCGAACTTAATAGTACTTAATAAAAGAGACTACTGTTCTACTACAAAAACAGAACATCAAGGAACTCTAACCTGACAAGCATTCACCCGAAGGTCCCAGATTCTAACACTGTGGTCAAGAGAACCTGACATAAAACTATCATTGATAGGAGACATGCAAAGGGAGACAACTCTACAATCAACATGCAAAAAAAAAAGAAGTTAGGTAGATACAGAAAGAGTTTAAAATTACAATTTCAAACAACTTTTTCCAAATAGTGAAGATTAAACACCTTTTTTTATGCCCCTTGAAGTAACGCAGGCATCGATTGTCATACATAGAAAGGTACCTCAATGATTCTGATAATAAATAATCGCACACTAAGCTATAGCAATGATTCTGATGATAAATAATCACCCACTAACCCACTAACTAAGAAAGGTACTTAAATGATTCGGATAATAAATATAAGCACTATAATTAAATTATGTTGAAAGGTTAAAAAACATAAACGGTAAAGAAATTAACCATTTGTAGACTCCAAATTGTATCTTGATGAACATAAAATGGAACTTGGATGATGTGTGAAACAGATACTGTCCGCGCCATGTTTCTTATGATACATTGTCTTCAACAATCTGCAAATAAATTTATTCTCTCACTATTTGGGATGAAAGAAAAAGAAACAATCAAATCACAATATTCCAATATAGGCCTATCCGGGTTATAAATTATAAACGCCATAAAAAGCTTATTTCTTTGATAAACTGGGAAGGTTAACTTAACTCGGCATCAAGTGCAACCGTTGCCATACAAAAGCCAAAAACTTTATAAATGGGTTTTACTTCATCTCAAATTACATATCAAAGAGAGGATGTAAAAAATGTGGAAACATGTTTTCCTAGTGGAGTTATGTGGCAGAGAAAAGAAACAATTTAAGAAAACAAATTTACTTTAGCACGGAGTTTCAGAGAAAGCCAAAAAAAAGAAGAGAAAAATTATCTCAAAGCAGAGTGAAGCAGGTTGCATATATTTTGCAAAGCTAATGGCATAATTTTTTATAATTTAGATGATTGTGTTTGATAAAACTATAGCATTTATTGCATTAATTTAAGTGCTGAAATCTTATGAAATATCAGAATCTTTCATACATTCCAGCCCTTTAAATCTTATTAAATAAAAAGTTGCGATGGAGCTTTCATGTCGATAAAGAGATTTTACATAATGTTACAAAAATATTTGGACAGAAACTTTATTACAAACAAAATAGAATCAAAATTCACACTATGCTTACATGGCATCTACAATACTGTAGAGGCGTACTGAATCATCTTCACTAGCAGTGACAAGTAGATCGTCTGTACGATGAAAATCAAGAGAAGAAATACTCCCTCCCTGAAAAATAGATTTTCAGGAAAGATAAAGTTAGAAGCTTCAAGAAGATACGGAGATAAAAAAGCAGGTAGGAATTATGGTTTAAATGTAGCTTTAGGGCAGAATGAGAAGAATATTATGAAAAAAAATATACTTTCTAAGAAGTGGTAAAAGGTATTTATTACTGAGAAATACAAAAATTATTTAAAAGCTTAAATATTGCAAAGAGAATAGTAACAAACCAAAAAACTTATTTATATAATAGGCTGGATAACAAGGAAGAGAAAAATGAGAATTATAAAAGGACGCCAGAGAAAAGAGATATATAAGTTTTTTTAGAATTAGATGAATTAGAAATAAGGCAGCAGTGTTTCAGTTGAAGTTGATATTAGTAAGGAAAGATGAAAACGTCATTTTTGAAGGAACTAGATGAAAATTGCAAGAATAAAAACATTCTGCAAAAGCATGATGAACATGTAATAAAATACATTACGAATTGATAAAAAAAATGAATAAAATTAAGTCTAAATAAGCATAAAGGTAAGATTTTAGGTCTTTATAATACTATTAAAATTTAGAGAGCTATGGGTTATCTTGTACTAGTTTGATATACAATTATTTTCAATGGGGTTTCAACAACAAAAAGGATGGAAAATGTCTTGAGAAGCATCATTTCAGGTATTTAAGAAGAAAGGAGATGGATAAATAAAAATGTTTATGATTGTTGTGGTCATAAAGGAATTAAAGCTATGCCATGCAATGAAGTTGCAAGAGAATTATGAAACAAAGAATTAAAAAAACTACATAAATGTCAAAAAAAAAAAAAAGGATTGATTTTAAACAAGCAAAGAAAAAACATCATGCAATTTCAAGTGATCATAAGAAAACATATGATTGGCTATCAAAATAATTAAGTTGGTGCAAGCTAAGAAAATTAGTGTGTTAAAGGTATCCTGAAATTATTAGAGAAATGTATAACGAAGCATTTGCTAATATTAATGTTTCCATTCATTTTCTCTTCTTTATTTTAAAATGAATCGTCAGCTTGTCGATTATCGTATACTTCCCCCATTCGAATAAATCTCCCTCCCGAATCATATAAATGATTCAAAGAAGAGAGGAACCGAATAAAAAGAGACATACGACAAAATGACAAACAAGAGAAAAAGTAAAACGTGGAGAGTCTATGTGCGATAAACTTCGCAAGGATAGGTTAAGAATGTCTGCTCAAACAAGATCGGGCGGAGGCACTTTAAACTAATATCCACGAAAGAAGTATCTACGTAGATTATCCATAACCAGAGAGTCAGGTATGTACCTGTTCTGAGGTCAAGAGCACTCTCAGAAGAACGTGTTCCTACTGGTGAATTACATCTTTGGGGATACCCAAGAATACTCTCAATAAAAGGAGTTTCGCTTCATATTATTATTGACTTGGGGTATAGGCAATCAAAAGAAGGTTATTCCGTGTGGGAACAATCTCGATGCTTCAAAGCTCACGCTAAGCCGTCAAATAGAGAGTGAGTCTCTCACATCCCGAATGGGTAGCGGCTCATCGGCACACAGGACCTACGGAATAACCTAAATCATCTTGACGGGGATATCCCAGCACGTCAAAGCACGTCCGGGCCAAAGAGCAGGGGAAAAATCATCGTATCACAAATGGGTGGCAGCTCATCTACATCGGGTCGTAAAGTTGATATCAACGAAGTCAAGGAGCGATATGGCTCAAAGTGGCTCAATAAAAAGGAAGGTAGAGTGATCCTAAAAGGTAGAGATAACTGGGTCGGGGCACCACAGACCCGCCATACACAGCTACTAAGATCCTAAGTCTACCTGGTCGTGAAGGTAGTCGACCCAACACGTCCTGAAATTCCCAGTCAGCAATCTGTGAATTGCATCATCCACGGGAACCTCGGTAACCCTAAGGTCAAAGAAAGGAAACTCTATCCTACGTCTACAAGCTGGAGCTCCAAGAGATGAGACTTATACCTGCCGAAATGACGAAGATGCCTCAGGAAAGAAAGAGAAAGTGGAGGTTCGGCTACAAAGCTGGAAACGCTCCAAACAAAATGACTTATACCCCGTCTGGGTCGGGAAGCATTCTAACACTATAGGCGCACTAGACAACCACCTATATGAAGGTATGCTGGGTTAGTCAGGTTGGAAAAGTACAGAGACTCATCCTAAGGATATGCAAATATGAATGCAGTTATCTAGAGCAATCCTAAGTATTGTGGATGCCCTATTAATATATGCAGGAAAGTTGATGCGTGCTAGAAAATTCGTGGCGGTAGAGTAATGGATTATCGCCTTAGCATTTCACGAGAATTCAACACACACTCAGATAAAAATGAA